ACCAGACCACACACTAGAATGTGAAGGGACGACGACGTTTCGGTCCGTCCTGGACCATTCTCAAGTCGATTGTGGGAGAATGGATCGACTTGAGAATGGTCCAGGACGGACCGAAACGTCGTCGTCCCTTCACATTCTAGTGTGTGGTCTGGTCATTATTCATATCTGTTTTCCGCTTATCGTCCTGCAACACTACAAAAGTAAAACACTTGCGTCCTGAAGCCCTACTGATGTCAGTAGGCCTTCAGGATCAGCCTGTGTAAGTCTCTACATTTTTAAAACACACACATACACTTCCACTAGTAGCTCTGTCCCAAGGTTACACTGACGAGTATATCTGACCAGTAACCAGGAAGGTGGCCAAGGTAGTACCCGTCCACGACAAGATAAAAAAAAAAACTATAGAAAGCCACGGACTAATATCCTTGCTTTCAGTCGTTGGAAACATCTTCGAAAATATGCTTATTGAGAAGACCAACTTGATAAAAACTACTTGTTAATAAGAAACTTGGTTTTAGGGGTACAAGAAGCGCATCAGATCTGCTACAACAGCTGACCGCAGGATAGATCATGGCTCCACTCTGACGGGCAGGACACCCATGTCTTCGTCAAATGCTCCAGCAATCTCCCAGGCTATGGTGTCTGGCATAAGAGTCTGCTGGTGTATAAACCTGTAAACAATGGCCGGGAATCTTCACCATCTCAATGTAAACCGCCCAAGTAGTTTCCATTTTCCCAACAATCTACCACAATTTACATTGTGGTAGATTGAGCTAAATCTTAAGCTAATCTTAAGCTCCTTAAAGCTAAAACAAAAATCTGGAATGGGAACTCCAGGAAATCTGGCGTTCCAGCGCCATGCTAAGACTTGCTTAAGATTAAGAAAGAAGAGTTGTGACGGCGGCTCCGAGAGGCTGGTGCCCGCCAAACACACACTGAAACTACGACGTTGGTACAACGTTCGAACAAGTTTCAACACCACCTAACCAGTTATAACAACCAATTTAGCAAGTTGTAACAACGTTCTAATACGTCATAAACACGTTAAGCCAAGATGTAACAACTTTATTACAAGTTGTAACAAGCGGAAAATAGAGACAGCTTCGGTTTGTGTTTCCAGGGTGGCTGGTTCTGCCTCAACCGAGGTCCTCTTATCGTGTAAGTACAAGATCAGGGTTTTTAGTTTATTTTCTTAAGGCTTGTGAAGTAACGAGGGAACTCGTGCCTGGATGTCGTTAGCTTCTGGCGACCTGGTTGAAATTTTACTCGCTTTACGAAGCTGTAGATGATAAGAAGATGCAAATAATGAGGAGGAGAGGAAGAAAATGAGGAAGGAGAAGGAGGGGTGGAACATGAGGAAGGGAAGGTGGAGAAAATGACCAGCTGTCAGAATAAAAGAAGAACAGGTCGACCGGGAAGAAAGAAGAAGAGACCCGTCAAACACACACTGAAACTACGACGTTGGTACAACGTTGGAACAAGTTTTAACACCACCTAACCAGTTATAACAACCAATATAGCAAGTTGTAACAACGTTCTAATACGTCATAAACACGTTAAGCCAAGATGTAACAACTTTATTACAAGTTGTAACAAGCGGAAAATAGAGACAGTTTCGGTTTGTGTTTCCAGGGGAAGAACTCAGGAGGAACAGAGGAAGAGAGTGACCAGAAGAAGAGAGAAGTAGAAAACAACAAAACGTCAATAAAAGCGACACAAACAAGACAAGAATTAAAAACAATAGAAAACAAACAAATAACACTAAAAACAAAAGTAAGACGAAGAGACAAAACAAAAAAAATCGATCAAACGAAAGAGATAAAACCCGACCTAAAGTTAAAAAAAACACACACACAAGTTCAAGAGGAAGAGAACAAGATAAGAGAATGAAGAGGCGACCACAGGAGCACAAAAAACAATTGCATCTCCTCCAAACAAGAGGATGTCCCTCCCCCCCCCCCCCGTCCCCCGTCCCCCCCTCTCACAGGATGGTGGTCTTCAAGGCGGACCATGTAACCAGCCGCACACGGGTACTAATCCCCGGATACAGAGACCGTTTAAGAGGTCTCCCTTTAGAGAGGAAAGAGGACCATTTTTCTCTCTATCCTTGACTGGTCAAGTATGTTGTGGTGGGCGATGGGACAGAGGTCGACTACAGCCCTTACAGGGTACAGGACGGGGTACAAGGGTACAGGGAGGGTACAGGACGGGGTACAAGGGTACAGGGAGAGTACAGGACGGGGTACAAGGGTACAGGACGGGGTACAAGGGTACAGGACGGGGTACAAGGGTACAGGACGGGGTACAAGGGTACAGGACGGGGTACAAGGGTACAGGACGGGGTACAAGGGTACAGGACGGGGTACAAGGGTACAGGACGGGGTACAAGGGTACAGGACGGGGTACAAGGGTACAGGACGGGGTACAAGGGTACAGGACACAAGTATCGCTGATATAAACACCATTAACCACACTTCAAGGCCCTTCAGATACATCTAATTTAAAGTTTGCTGTCTAAGAAGATTCTGTGAACATTAACGTGTATTGGAGGTGTGTGTGGTGTGTGTGGCGGTGTGTGGTGTGTGTGTGTGTGTGTGTGGAGGTGTGTGTGGAGGTATGTGTGGAGGTTGGTTGGTGGCGATGGCAACGCTGGAAGTTGTGGTTGCTATGGCATTGGTGGTGGTGGCAGCTATGGTAGTGGTGGCGATAGCTGTGATTGCTATGGTAGTAGTGGTCATGATGGTGTTAGCGACAACTTCCACCAATAATCTCCGACACACGAGTCCTTTTAGCAATCCCATTACCGTACACCACCTCTAGACTCCAGCACGCCCTCTCCAACACTACAAAGCCCCAACATTCTCCTCCAACCTAAGTCCCGAGAGAGAGAGAGAGAGAGAGAGAGAGAGAGAGAGAGAGGGGGAGAGAGAGAGAGAGAGAGAGAGAGAGAGAGAGAGAGAGAGAGAGAGAGAGAGAGAGAGAGAGAGAGAGAGAGAGAGAGAGAGAGAGAGAGAGAGAGAGAGGGGGAGAGAGAGAGAGAGGGGGGGAGAGAGAGAGAGAGAGAGAGAGAGAGAGAGAGAGAGAGAGAGAGAGAGAGAGAGAGAGAGAGAGAGAGAGAGAGAGAGAGAGAGAGAGAGAGAGAGAGAGAGCTATACTCATGCTTCCCAAAATAATGAAGCGAGAATATTTTACCCGCGCACCTCCTAGCCAGTATTTTGTTTTTTGGGGGGTTTGTTTACCTTCAAAGGTGCCGGATGTAAAATGCTTCCGTCTCTCTCACGCCCGTGAATGACTTCTTTTTCTTTATCCGCCAGCACCTTGGGTATTAAAAATGTCGCCGAGATGGTCCTGTTGAGAGCCGGAAAATGGTAATGTGATTAGTTCTCCCGGGAAGAGGTGTCGTGGAGAGGAAACGACGAGAGACGAGGGAGAAAGAAACGACAAGTGTTGCCACAAAATGGCGCAAGATTATCCCTTTCCCGGTCAGCCGCGGCGACTTCTCTCTCAGACACAAATCGGTTACCCAGAACGGACCATGGTTATATAGTGCCGCTTATATATATATTTTATACTATATGCATGAATGCCATTTGTGTCATATTTCAAAAGCAGGTTTCCAGCCGAGGCTCCAGCAGCCGTGTGGGAACGCTAGGCTTCTGTAGCCTCAAGTAAATGGAGATTTTTTTTATTCCGTATGTTCATTCCCGTTTTCTAGAGTCATCATCCGAGGGAATAGAAATATATTAGCGAAATAAATATCAATTCTCTTTTTTTTTTTACCCTGATGGTTTGGAATGATAATGGTTTAGGAATGAATTAATGACGTATGATAATAGCGTTCAAAAGTCCCTCTCGGCTCAGACCACTAGGAGGGGAATTTATTTTGTTTTAAAAGTTTGGCCCGAAAGGGAGAAGGGGGCCCCCACCCCTTCTCCCTTTCCGGCCACTCATTTCGGCGTCACTCATCCTGTGAGTGAACATTCTGCCAGATAACAACATGTTCAACACCCGCTAATCTGATTGACTGAACACCCGGGCTGGCTTGTTCACTTTGTCAGTTTTAATCAGACGCATATAATTGTTATTTGTTGAGTTTATTTAGAAGAATATGTGTTAGGAAAAATTATTGAAATTAGCCTACCAATTTCATTAGTAGAATTTAGTACTATTTACTTACTAGAATTTAGAA